CACCTAACTTGCTTGTACAACATATTCAAAAGTGGTATGCTAAAAACTAAAAAATTTATAATATCTTATACTCTTAAAATTGCCCAGTCATCAATTAGATTTATGTAATTTACATAGAGTACATAATAGTCTAAACAAAGTTAGATATATTTAGAGTTAACATGTATATATTTTTAGTATATAAATATGTATTAATAAAATATAAGATTAAACATGTGAATTATTTCTTAGAGAAGAGAAAATTTATTAAGCGAAAACACTTCTCGTAGAAATTAAAATTGGTACGGTCCATAAAAAGACCCTTCCAGCTGTTGGGGAATCTTGAAAGCAATATTGTAGTCCAGCAAAACGACTACGTGGCAATCCGTCATTGGTTGGCATGCGTAAATTTCGTCTAGTAGCGGGCGTCCTCGTCAGCACCGATCATGACGCGGTTGTCACGTCACCGCCACGACAAAGTCAGTGGGAACTTTTTGTGGGGCCCGGCCTGGGGGGGTTAGTCAACATCCAAACTGTCGCCACGTCAGAGACCGCAACGTCGTCGTTTGGAAAAAGGAACGGTTGTCTTCTCCGCACACGGCAAAGTCTTGCCTCGTGTATCCGACGTGGCCGTGATTTTCGGGCGGAACATGTGACATGTCCAATTCACTGTTTCTGTTGGTACTTGGAGACCAAGACTTTTCAGTCGATAGAAAATTTTCTTCTTGATTACTGTAATTAAGAAAATATGTTTCTGCCTAAACTAATGTTAATTGAGGTTATTGAGCTTTAATCATTGGAACTGGAAAATGTATCAAATTGTTAAAGCAAGATGAATTTTATCCACTTTTTTATTTATTGACTCCTAGTATTCGTCTCCCAAAAGGTTGAATTCCCAACCCTGAGGGTCCCTCACATTCCGGCCCGACTGAGCATTTGAGATGATGTAAATCAATGCCGGTGTGCACAAATAATCTGTCCACTTTGGACATAATTTTCACACTGTCGCCACCGAGGTTTGAATCTTGATCTTTTCTCTCAAATACTGTCCACTGAACCATTGAGCTAAGCTTGTGCGTACGACTCTTAGTATTCTTAATTGTATAGTAGTTTAATTTAGAATGACTCTAATTGAATTGATCGAACAATGAAATTTTGGTCACAAATTTAACTACTAGTAGAATTGTATATTGGACTCTTGAGCTAGTCCATATGATTTGCCTAGGCTTGTTTTACCTTTTCGAGGTTTTGAGAATGGGTTTTCACCCAATGTGTACCGTGATGTGAATGTTTATTGCTTGTGCATGGAATACTTAAGAGGGAAAGTTTTCGTCACATGTGATTTTTTTATTTTTTATTTTAGTTATTGTGTGACTAACTAAACGATCAATCAATTAAGAAGTGGTATCTCAATTAAAAGAGATACAATAATCACTCGTTAAAGTAATTTTTTTGTGTCACTGTTGAATAGAACAAAGTGTGTGTGTGTGTGTGTATATATATATATTGTCTTTTGTGTCACTATTGAACATAATTAATCAATCAATCAAAAATAAGTTGATATGTCTTGCTTTGTTAACAATTGTAGCGTGTAAACTCTGAATCCTACAAAGTACTAAAAAATCGAGATATAGTAAGACACATCTAGTTATTTACCACTTTTATCAATCTCTAAGACAAGAGCTGGACATTTAAATTTAAGGGTCAAACTTATGGAAAATGTCAACTCATATATAGAACAAAAGTTCCAATTATGAGTGTATTGATCAGAGGTTTTGATAGACCCCAATGATGATTGTGTAATTTGTGTAATTAGGGTTGGGGTTCAGCATTTTTGGAAGAATAATAGGATTTTTATGGTATTCATAAGTCATAACTCTCATGTTATTAAATTTGTAACGGTTGTCATAATTATTTATTAAATGGATTTAGTTCACGAAATGTTATATTACCTTAGGAAATATTAGATTGTTGAGAATGTTAAATTAATATATTTGGTTTAAAATTAAGGTATGTAAATAAGACAGCGGTAACAAGACAAATTGATTAAAATCCCAAAAGTCTAAGATTAATAAGACAAAGAAATATGAGATTACCTAAGAAATTGGATGCTATCTCACATTCTCTTCGAATAGCTAAAAACTTAATGTGGAGATTATGTGACATTCTTAGAAAAATTATATAACTTACCAAACATGCAAATCTTATAACCCCAAACAAATATAATAACTTGAATCAAACACCTCATAACACCTACCTTAGATAAATCTGGTGAGTTGAACCGCTAATATATCTTTCTGACCATTGACCCATTGGGCCGTTATACTTATACATTCATAAAGCCAATCAATCTTTGATTATATTAAAATTGTATTACAACATAATTAAAATAATTATTAATTAAAGCTTATAATTATTATTTTTTGTATACAAGAAATTAGAAAACTATACAAAATATGACTACACCATTCCAATCCGAGATTTATAATTACTTTTATCTTAAAAACTGTTGGTGTTAAACACTTAAACCTTTTTTTTTTTTTCCTAAATCCTTAATTTTGTATTTCCAATTTTTACCAAATTGTTTATCACGTGACCATCACACGTGATTTATGAGGCTACCTTGAAAAGCCACTTGACTTTTACGTGACAGTCCACCCAAAGCATGAAGGAAAAGGTGAGATGAAAAATAATACCCGTACTTTTTCTTTTTTTTTTTTTAATGACGATTAAAATATGCATTCACTTACGGGTTGTTTGACTGGAGGTAGTTTAGGTGTAGTTGAATTGTAATTCCGTGGAGATCACAATTACGTCATTTGGTTGAAAATGCTGAATTACAATTCCGGACTCCCCCCTAAGAATTGTAAACCGGCAATTACTAGCGATTCCGGCTTCATGCAGGCGAGTTGCAGCCTGCAATCCGAATAGAGGACGGGTTTTGGGGGTTAGCTCACCCTCGCGGGATTGCGACCCTTTGTCCCGTCCATTGTAGCACGTGTGTTGCCCTGAGCATAAGGGGCATGATGACTTGACGTCATCCTCACCTTTCTCTGGCAGTCTGTTCAGGGTTCCAAACTCAACGTGGCAACTAAACACAAGGGTTGCGCTCGTTGTGGGACTTAACCCAACACCTTACGGCACGAGCTGACGATAGCCATGCACCACTTGTGTCCGTGTTCAAGAGGATTCGCGGCATGTCAAGCCCTGACAAGGTTCTTCGCTTTGCATCGAATTAAACCACATGTTCCAGCGCTTGTGCGGGTCCCGTTAATTCCTTTGAGTTTCATTCGTGCGAACGTACTCCCCAGGCGGGATACTTAACGCGTTAGCTGCAGCACTGCACGGGTCCCTGAAGGCATTATTATTATTATTATTATTATTATTATTATTATTATTATTAGTACATGATGGCATTTCAGTCATTGTATCACTTATTCCTTTTCAATTCCTTGTAATCTTATTTTGCATACCAAACACTGTAATTTGAATTCCTACTTTATTCCTACCTCATTCTTTTCCCACCGAATTACAATTCATTTCCACCCTAATTCTTTCCTTCCAACCAAACGGCCTGTTAATGCGTTACGAGGCGTTTGGTTGGAGTGAATTGCCATTATATTTCCATCTAATTTCCAAACTCCTTCTTATGGTTGAAGTTAAGCAAACTCCTTCTTATGGTTGGAGAGAATTGCAATTTTACAAAATTGAAATTCCTTCATTTTCATAGAAGTAGAATCTCATGCCCCTCTTGGTATTTCAATTCCAAGGATTTTAAGAACAAAAAAAAAAAAAAAAAAAACTTTGAGACAAAATTACCTCTCTCTATTTTTAGCCTAAAATTGATGTTTGACATCTCTCTTTTTATTATAGCGTGTCTTCTACTTATACTCTTAACATAGAACGTCAATCAGTATGTAACCCAACCTTAATCAAATATGTTTTCTCGAAATTCTCTTATTATCTATTTTATTACTTTCATTATGCAATTTTAGGGTCATTTATACAACGTTTTACATAAATTTTCAAAAGCAAAATTTTATTTTAGTCATTTATGAATAATAATAATAATAATAATAATAATAATAATAAGTATAGGCATCTTCAATTTTATATTACTTATTCCCTCTCAATTCCCATATATACTAAACATTAGAATTGAAATTCCCAATAATTCTATTCTTGCAAACCAAACACTTGAATTTAAATTATCACTTTATTTCACATTATTCTTCTTCCATGAAATTACAATTCCTTTCACACATAATTTCCTCCTTTCAACCAAGCACTACTAACGTATTGCATTTTACCTTATAAGTAATATTGGCAAATGTTGATTACTTATAAAGGCAAATGTAATATTTTTTTAAAAAAAATGTAAAAGTATTACATTTTTCTATATAAATAATAAATAATAAATATTTTATTTCTTATTAGTGTTACATTTTTTAGTATATATAAGTATTACATTTGATATTGACTCGATCCATCTCACATATAAGAATCTTTGAGACGATCCCACACATGTTTTTGTCACCGATTAATGATTCTATACCCCTTCAACTATTATCCCAATTGCACTTACCATGCAAAAACATCATGGAATACTTTTTAAACATATCAACATTCTTATCCCGCTCCTATATAAAAACTTTCAACATGGAATAAATTAATAGAATGCAAATTATAAGGAGAAGTAAATCGTACTAGAAATATCAAATTGAAAATATATTTATAAAAATCAAAAATAATAATTTTTAGATACAGGAATCATACTTTTATCCCCGGAGGCATAATATCATCATTCTAGAATAGAAAAACTCAAAAACATGTGGAAGATTGGAAGGTGCCGTAAAAAATTTGATTAATAATTATGGTAAGTTTATGTTTGTTGATTCAACAACCGGGAAGAAGGCGGACCAAGTGGTTTTCTTGTTTGGCACGTCTTTATGTGCCTCTCAAACTCTATATATTCATACCCTTTTCGACCTCGATTCTCTTCTCCTTTTTCCCCCTTCGGTTCTCTCTCTCTCCGCCCCCATATTTCGTTTCAATTTTCTCTCTCCTCCCCTTCCTCCATTGGTCTTCATTCTCTGTGGGCGTTAGACCCTTTTCCTGGTTCAGAGATTGACGGGCGGTTTGGTGATTGAGCAGTAGATTTTAAGGTACTTTTTTTCCAGTTCTCCGCATCATTTTTTGATTCAGAAACGTTCGGTTCATGCAATGCTAGCTCTTAGAATCCCAGATTTTGATCCCCTTCGTCGTGCAAACGTACAAAGTCGCTAGCTTTTTGTCAATTTCTTTCCGGGGGTTTTCCAGAAAGTGAAATCAAAGCTCAAAGATCATCTTTTTTTCAAGCTTTTCGTGATGGGGGCCGCTGAATTTTTTGTGGGTAGTATTGTTAGCTTAAAAGCTTTGATTGGAAGCAGTTTTGAGACGGTTTTTGGTTTTCTGAGTTTTCTATGTTCATGTCTATAGCTGTTTTTTAGCATGTATATAATACAGGTTTGTGGGTCTATGATGATTTGACAGCACCAATAATTAATTTGGGTTTGGTTTAAGATAATATTGTGTTTTGTCGGTTGCTGCAAGATATTGAAATATTATTGATTGTGCGTCATTATCAGCGTACCTGGTTTACCGTAGGAAACTGAACCATCTCATACATAAAATATTAGTCAGCAGATTCCTCATGCTTTGAGGTTATGTTCTTTAATTTGTCAATTGTCAAGTCTTCTCTTTCTTTTGGTTGGTTAGAAGCTGCTCATATTTATGTATATAATTGTTAAAATTTAGGGTGATGGCTATTATTGGTGCAGAGAGTCAGGTCCACGTGATCTCTCTTAATGTTGAATCAATGTTTAATAGTCTTACATGTGGTTTCTCAAAAGTTTAGTCAAAAAATTTAATTTTTATTGGTCTCTCCCTCTGCCTATAGGTTGGTGGGTTACATGTCAGTTTTATTGATTTGGAGGTTGTGTTGTCAGGCCATTGAAGTATAAAGATGGCAATATAATGCTTGAACTTGCTAGTTGGAGCTTTCATTATTTGTCTATCATTTTCTTATTGAATGAATGGCTTTCTTGATCTCGTTTTGTTTCAGTCCTATAGTTTCTTGAGGTTGCCCAGATTCTTGATTATGCAGTAGTTGTTTTGGTTACGAGAATAAGCATATGTTTATGTTCTTGGTAATGTTATTGCGAAGCAAGATTGTGATCTTTTGTTTCGTTTTTGTTGCCAGTTGGAACAATGTTCTGCTGCTTTGTATAAATGCAGTGTGGCTTTGCAGATGAGGTATGGTATAGTATGGTTTGATTTATGGTTATGGTTCTTGGCGTGTTGAATCGAGTCATTAATTTCTCGGGAAACATTGTGTGATGTTTTGTTTTTTGTTTTTGTTTTTTTTTTTTTTTTCTGGCAATGGCAGATTTCACAGAGCCTCTGCTTCATGGACTGCTCAACCAGCTGCTGTGACAAGAAGACATTGAAAAGGTGGTTTTTCATTGATAAACGGGTTGGATAAACGATTTTAATTTGTTAGAAAGTTTGTTAGAAAGGTTTGGAAGCGATGGACATGAATTCAACGAAAGCGTCTCCTGTTCTTACTGATCCTGCGCCGCTAAACAAGTCTCGACTAGGGATTCATTCTCCCATATTGCCTTACTCTCAATCCGGTTCATCGTTCTCGGCTACCATGCTAACAATCCCGAGGAAGAAACCGGGGAAACTCGATGACGTTCGCTCCAATGGTTGGCTCGACGCGATGAAGTCTTCTTCGCCTCCTCGCAAGAAGATCTTGAAGGACTTTGGTGTTGAGATTGTTACTGATGATGCTGATGTTGACTATTTTTCTTGGATGGTATGTTTACATTTTTTTTTCGTTTTGTTTAATGTTTTGGACTATACAATTGAAGTATGTGCTCCATCTCAACTAAAAGCTTAAGCTGATAGTTGGATTGCACATTAATGGTTATATGCTCAACACGCCCCCTCACTTGTGCGGTGGGTTCCAAGCAAGCAACACGTGGACCATAGTCGCTTATCGTCGGCGGGTGACGTAGAGATTCCAACATGACCTTGGGTCTGCCTCTGATACCAAATTGAAGCATGTGATTCATCTCAACTAAAAGCTTAAGCCAAATATAGAACAACTAACGTTTTCCCTGTCTACTTAACAGGTTAAGTACCCATCTGCACTTAGTTCATGCCAGCGTATTCTCAACCAAGCAACGAACAAGAGGATCGTGATGTTTTTAGACTACGACGGGACTCTTTCTCCAATTGTAGATGACCCTGATCGTGCTTTTATGTCGGATGAGGTGGGGAACTAGGCTTGATCTTTATATTCACGTTAAATCATCGTTATCGTTTTCTGGTTGAATTAGCGTTTTAACCCTGTTATAGATGCGTGCTGCTGTCAAGAATCTCGCGAACTATTTCCCAACAGCAATCATTAGTGGGAGAAGCCGTGATAAGGTAAAAATGGAGTCTTGAAATAGTTTTCGTTCGAGAAACTTTATATGTTTGCAGTTTAGGAAGACAATTCATCGTTTATATGTGTTTCAGGTTTATGAGTTGGTAGGATTAGCCGAATTGTATTATGCTGGTAGCCATGGAATGGACATTATGTTTCCTGCCAAAGACGAAATGCTCTCTACACACTCGAATTGCATCAAATCCACCGACCAAAATGTATTGATCTTCTCGTTTCCATTGCTCGAAACGACGTTTCTCTTTGTATCTATCTATCTTTCGCGTTTGCTCAGTATCGTCGACTGTTTTTATGATCAGGGCAAGGAAGTAAATTTGTTCCAGCCAGCTCGTGAATTCATACCGATGATCAATGAGGTGCGTAGATGAGAACTGTATAAACTGTATTAAATGAACAGTGATTACAACTGTACAGAATGGGGGAATATATACCAAAGAGAATCATAGGAAGACTAAGATAGAGAGTCATAATAGCGTGGCTTCTTTCTGGGAACTAAAATGTATTATTGCAGCTCGGTTTTTTCATTCAAATGATCGCTTTTTTTTTTTGCAGGTTTTTAAAACCCTCACTGAGAACACGAAAGACATAAAAGGCGCTATGGTTGAGAATCATAAGTTCTGCGCGTCTGTTCACTACCGCAACGTAGATGAGAACGTGAGTCACCGTAAACCATAAACTCGATATATACTCTCGTTTTTGCATATGCTATAAGCTTTTGCTGTTTTCGATTTACGACAGATTTGGCCTACGGTTGCACAACGTGTCCACGACATCTTGAAAGAATACCCTCGACTTCGCCTAACTCATGGACGGAAGGTTTTAGAGATCCGTCCGGCAATTGATTGGGACAAAGGAAAAGCTGTGAATTTTCTGCTTGAATCACTTGGTAGCTTACCCCCCACCCCCCATTTCTCTATTTTCTTTTCATCTTCATTGGGAAAAACGCACCAAATGAATAAGAACGTGTAACATTATAGCGAACCGTGCAGGCCTCGGGAACAATCAAGACGTGCTTCCTATCTATATTGGAGACGACAGAACAGATGAAGATGCGTTTAAGGTAATATTACAAAGATCCCGCCTAGTGATACAATCGATGCAAATTTGTTTCCTAAGTTCATATGTTTTAGGTATTGCGTGAGGGAAACCGAGGCTATGGAATCCTGGTTTCTCCTGTTCCAAAGGAAAGCAAGGCCTTCTTTTCGCTCAAGGATCCCTCACAGGTGTGGATCTCACTGCAGAATTTGCTTTTCTTCGAGTTTTCACTGTTTTCTTAGATTCATTTGAAACATAAAAAATTTATGCAGGTGAAAGAATTTCTGGAGTCTGTTGTGAGAATGAAGGAAGGAAAAAGAGCATCAAAAGCATGAAGAGGAGCACAGATGCCATTTGGTTGTTGACAATATTTCTTCTGCATATTAGGATAGGTTTCAAGGATTTGTTTATCATTGTCATAGGCCCATAATGTGGCCTATTTGATGAATTTATGTTAGTCTTTGTTGATCATTGTTTTAATCCGCAAACATAATTTGTTATGAATTCTGTAAAGTTCAAATTCTTTGTGTTCATTTCCATCTTTGGTGTACCAGTTTGGGTCAAATAGTACTTCAAATTTGGCACTATCAATTGAATCTTTGATTTACAGAAAAATTCGTAGTTGTTATTCGAAAATGCGATTTAGGTGAAGCTTGCCTGCTCGCCTTGTAACCTTAGTCAGCAAATGATCACTTTGTCACAAGGAGGTAAGTTAGTCTAGGTTGTCCATAGTTGATTGACTGGCATGCAAGTGACCATTTTGTCACAATGAGATAAACCGAGAAGGTCAATAGGCTATCTCACTAGGATTTCATGAACTTGAAACCTTGTTGTTTCCCAACCAATTTAGCTTGAGTTGTCTCTATTCATAGGATCTTGTTTGATTGTTCATTGATGAGTATTAAGATAGTACTAGGATTCGAACTTGAAACCTTGTTGTTTCCCAACCAATTTAGCTTGAGTTGCTCCTATCCATATGATCTTATTTGATTGTTCATTGATGAGTATTAAGATAGTAATTGAAGTTAATACCCGATTTGGTCCTTTGACTACAAATTTCGTCCACAACTATGCAAACGTTAACCAAAATAGTCCTCAATCTAATTTGCCCCCAAGTGTTGGGATATCCATAACCAATATTGTAAATTACGCTATGACAGAGATGCATCCTAATGGCTGCCAGCCTGGTGATCAGCGAGATACCATTGACTTTGGTGGAGAGGGGGAAGGTGGATGGGGAGAGCGGCGTTGAAGAAGATAAGGATAATAGACAATGTAGAGGCAAACTTATCAACGAGATACCATTGAGTTTGGTGGAGAGGCGGAAGGTGGATGGGGAGAGCGGCGCTGAAGAAGATAAGGATAATAGACAATGTAGAGGCAAAGTTCGAAACCATCATCGTCAGATGTGAGGTGGCGTGATCGATAGGTGAAGAATTCATTCAATAAGCTGACGAAGAAGATAAGGATAATAGACAATGTAGAGGCAAAGCTCGAAACCATCATCGTCAGATGTGAGGTGGCGCGATTGACAGGTGAAGAATTCATTCAATAAGCTGACGACGAAGTGCAGTTAGGCCAGCCCCAACTAATCATTATTGTCATCGTGCATATTTTTCCGCAAGAGTTAATTCCACCGGAGGTCCCTTGTCTTTGGTGCCAATTCCAAATTTAGTCCCAGACTATCATTTTTGTCATTTCACATCCCAGACTATTATTTTTTGGACACTTTTAGTCCTTCTAATGATTTTTTTCTATTTTTAGTAAGGGCATTTTGTCTCTTCATATTTTTCTTTTGTTATTTTTCTGATTTCAACTAGTTTAATTGATTTAGAACTTTAGGTAACCTCTGATTTTTAGTAACCATATTTTTCAACCAATTTTTAGTAAAATCCTAAACCAATTAAACTGATTGAAACCGGAAAAATAACAAAAGAAAATATGAAGAAACAAAAATGCCCTTATTAAAAATAGAAAAAATCGTGAGAAGGACTAAAAGTGTTCAAAAAACGATAGTCTGGAATGTAAAATGACAAAAACAATAGTCTGGGACTAAATTTGGAATGCCACCAAAGACAAGAGACCTCCGGTGGAATTAACTCTTTTCAGCAATTCACGAGCATCAATGCCATCATGATCAACGCCATCAAGGCCAATGGATTCCTCCTCTCTTTCATCATCACTGGCTTAGTCAACATTTTCACGACCGGGTTGCAATCAAATGCTCATTTAATTTCTCATATCGCAACCGGTTGAGATTAGACTAGGGGGTGATCTGATTCCTAGTGAAATCTTTCCGTTGGAGACTCAAGAATGCAAAGAAAGGAAAATTACGTTTCTATCCTCAATTTTAACCTCTAACAAACATCAGTTTGGACTAAGGACCATTTTAGATCAAAATTGCATAGTTGTGGATAAAATTGGACAGAATTAATAGTCAAGAATTAAAGTGGTGAAATCCTAATATTCGATGGACTAAATCAGGTATTAATTCATAGTAATTGTGTTCAGTACAGTTTTTTTGTTGATCTATATCCCGAGAGTAATTGCCAATCTAGTGCAAATATTTTTAAAAACGAATGCAATCTAATGACTCTCCCAAAACTTCGAAGTTATCGTGATGCATCATAGTATTCGATGCTATTTAATCTTCACAAGTATTCCACTCTCGCCCGATGCATCATTGCACTTGTTTTGTCCTCATGTTTTCATGGAATTTTCCAAGCAAATAATGTCAAAAATGAGGATTAAATTAAAAGAAAGATGAATCTTTATGCAGCATTAATGTCTGTACTGAAGCTGAAGATTCCTAGCTACCAAATTGCAGGGCAGTGGCAAGACAATTTGACAAGCTGGGCTGTACTAAGGACACCTAATATGTTCCCTTGTCTAAAAAAAAAACCTTAACTTCCTTAATCCAACCTTGAATTATATGTGACATAAAAGTACTTGTTGGGTGATGACTTGAGATATTGAGTCCAGTATCTTATAATTATTGAACATTGTAATTAATTTTATAAAAGAGCAAATAACAATTTTAGTCCCACGAGTATTAGCAAAATGACAATTTTAGTCCACATGTTTAATTCCTACCAATTTTCATCCATGAGTATTGTTTTAGAACCAATTTTCATCCACGCCTATTTTTTTAGCGCCAAAATTCATCACGTTGGTAACCTCTCCGTTTAAGACATGCTGAAATCTAAAAATTTTAAGTGTATTTTCGTCATTTTCAACTTAAGATCCCAATTTGAGCATGAATAAAGCGATTTAAGCCCTAAGATCGATCTCAATTCCTAGTTCTCTTCCTCATCCTACCTTAATTTGAGGAGGGGAATTGTAAATTGGGATCGATCTTAGGGCTTAAATCTCTTTATTCATATTCAAATTGGGATCTTAATTTGAAAAATACGAAGATACCCTTAATAATTTCATATTTCGGCATGTCTTAAACGAATGGATGACCGGCGTGATGAATTTTGGTACTAAAACAATAGTCTTGGATGAAAATTGACACTAAAATAATAATCGTGAATGAAAATTGATAGAAATCAAACATGTAAACCAAAATTGTCATTTTACTAATACTCATGGGACTAAAAATGGTATTTGCTCTTTTATAAAATGACCAGACCAAATTCGTCGAATTGAACTTTGATTATAGTTCAATTTCGGTCGAATTGTAAAGAAGAGTTGTAATGAAGAGTACAATTATAATTATTGAATACTGCATTAGGTGATTAATCCACCAAATTTTATTGCCAATTTTATAATCCACAAAATTTGTCATTACAAACAGGATTTAAATACATCATTAATACTTACTCCAAAAAATTACAAATTTAATTCTTGTTAGTTCTTTCTAAATCAAATTCGGTCACACATTATCGTTTATTAATACAAATTATCTCTTCGTGTAGATGTGTAATACTATAATGGCCGTAAATTTCTCGTGTTATCCAACGTTTATCATACGTGTTCAAAGTGAACACGAGTAATAAGTGTCGGAGTTTACGAAGTGTTGGGAGACGTACAAAAAGAGTCAAACGTCTCCGTAAACTATGTAAAATCAACTTGACATTTTCCGTAAGTTTGGGAACAATGTAATGTGTAATGTTAGATTTACGTGGCACCAATTTAGAGAATTAAGAAAATTGTAACGTAGGGAACGTATAATTATGGTGCATCATTTTCATTTAAATTCTCCCAAATCTTTAGCATTACCATAATGTCCGTTCACATTACAATTTATAACTCGTTCATGTCTAGTCACCCCTCAAATCCACATAATCCTACAAGAATCAATATGTGTGTATTTTTTGTTGTCGGACTATGAGGTGTCATGAGCAAACCTTAACTTTAGGAAGATTGACCAGATTGATTTTTATATATAAGTGGAAGTTTAAATTCCCAACCTCTCTTAAAGAATGAGAGCGCACGGTCACTCATGCGAACTAAATTGATTATACACGCGTATGAAGTCAAGGTTAATGATAAACTTCCCATCTCGCAATTGATTGAATCAGTCCCCAAAAATCCCCACATCCCGGCTCGACAGGGCATTTAGGAAAAAGGATCAGCCCCCATATCCTGGCTTGACAGGGCATTTGAGAAAAGGGATCAATGGCTCAAGAGACAGGGCCAAATGCTGGTGAATCAGTCCCTAAAGGCCCTCACATCCCGACTCGACATAGCATTTGGGAAAAGATGCTGGTGAATCAGTCCCCAAAGACCCCCATATCCCGGCTCGACAGGACATTTGGAAAAAGATACTGGTGAATCAGCCCCCAAAGGCTCCCACATCCCGACTCGACATGACATTTGAGAAAATGGATCAATGGCTCAACAGATAGGACCAAATGCTGGTGCCCACAAAAAATCTTTTCACTTTAAGTATAATCCCTACATTGCTGTCAGCGGGATTCGAATCTTGGTATATTCTCTCAAATAAAATACTGTCTACTGAACCATTAAACTAAGTTCGTGCGGACTATTTCACACTTTTCCAGACCAAAAAAATGTTGTGTCCTTCAGTCCTCACCGCAGGTCTCCACCTAGAAATGGCATCTCATTAATTCTATTGATTTGTGGTGTTTGAATCCCAGAATCTCTCTTAGCTCATCATCCCCATTTACTTTAATCAACTCTCTACTCCCAACCTTGAACTGTTCAACATAAAAGCCGTCAAATTTCTGAGTCATCACTCTTATAAGTTATAAATACTGCCCACGCCTTCTGATGTTCCTCAGTTACATTGAAAAATATGAAACCCCCGACAGCATTCTCTCTCTCATCCTTCTAGAAACCTCAGAGTTTATTACATAGTACATAGTATAGACTATAGTGTGGGCATGGAGAGACCCAGAGGTTTCAGGCTTAGGATGAACCCGGTGAGTGTTTTCCGGCGGTTTGTTGGCCGGAGGGGGAGCTCAGAGGTGTGGTGCGGCGTGGGGCGGAGGGTGCTGGCGGTTGTGAAGCGGGACGTGCGTTTAATCCGGGTGGGGCAGGAGCCGCCGGGGCCGGAGAAGGCGAGTGTGCCGGCGGGGCACTTGGCGGTGTACGTGGGGGAAGCGGAGGGCGCCACGTGTAGGGTGGTGGTGCCGGTGTTCTACTTCAACCACCCTCTGTTCGCGAATCTGCTCAGGGAGGCTGAGACGGTTTACGGGTTCGACCACCCCGGCGGGATCCAGATTCCCTGTAGGATATCGGAGTTCGAGAACGTGAAATCAAGAATCGCCGCCGACGGTGATGCCCGCCGCGTCCGCCGGAGCTGGAGTTTCTGAATCGTCGATGATTAACCGGTGGCCTTTACAAGTTGTAGCAGCCAGACAAGCAATCATGGCGGACTCCTTTTTTCTTTTTCTGTGTAGAAAATTTACAAAAATGCATGTCTTAATCTGGTTTAAATCTGTTCTGTAATCATCATAAATGGTGACAATCAGATTCAAAGAATCTGTTTCTTAAAAATCCCAACTTTTTTATTAACAAAAAAAAAAAAAAAAAAAAAAAACCCAGTAATTGTTATTCAAAAATAGGCCAGTAAATGATAAAAAAAAATCAATTTAAATTATCTAATTAATCCTAAATACAAACTGCCTTAAAAATATTATTCAACAAACCATCACAATAAAATAAAACAAATTAAATTATTCATAATTAATATACTTAAATAAAAAGATACTAGTTAAGAATCTAAGTAAAATAGAGCAGTTGAGAGATTGTAAATTATGATGATTCAGTTTCATATTAGTTTATTCTTCTAAATACTGTTTGAATCAATGAATTAAATTCGAACAAAATATTAATAAAATTAATAAGCCATGTTAGATCTAATGGATTGACGATCAAACGGCAAAATTGTAACTCCTCAAAAATAAAAAGTATCAAGTTTAAATTCCAGTGTAAGAATATTGACTTTTTGTGATCTCAGTAAATTAAAAAAGTATGTATGAACATACTACAATTATTTTTTAAAAAAAAAATCTAATGGATTGACAGTCAAACTAACACAATTTAAAAGAATAAATTGAAAACATAACCCGGATAAAGGTGATATAAAGCCTGCATAATTAATCCGTACTTATCGTTAGTACTTTAAACTTTAACGTCCATTACGTAACGTTCAAAACACGTAATACATAGTACCAACGCAAAGAAGCATCAAATTTTATTTTACAGCATATATTATATCAAAGTTGATACAAACATATATATACTATATATCAAGCACTATAAACTTTGCTTGGATGAGTATATTTCATTGTCTTCATCTCACTGCATGTGTTCTTGCAGGCTTCTTCCATGGCAGCTTCAGATATGTTGCTGTTGCATATGTTCGCAAAAGCTCTCATGTGTTTCATCCCATACTGCCCCAATGATCCGCAATGCGTCTCGAAAACCCTAACCTGCAACCAGAGCGTCTCACTATCAACTATCAACTTAAACTTTTAGTTAAATCAGAACAAGAATATGGTTTGACAGTTAGTTGTTACCATTGATTTGAGGCACTGCCAATCGTCAACGAGAGCTAAACCTGGCTTGCGAACAGATTTGAGGATGTTGGATCCGTTTTCTGGACCAAACAAATGTACCCCGAGGTTGTCGATGCTTGCATCGAGGCGTTGTCTGTGCAACATTGTATCGGTTATCTCCTTCAGGAGTTTAGCCTTGCTCACTGCATTGTCTCCCTTCATCTTGTACTGCATTCATTCGTCTCAAAATCGTATATAGCAGGGGAAATAACGAAACAGATACGAATGCAAGAATATAATCGAATAGGCAATTAGACTATATATAGCAGTGATAGTTTGAAGCTCAGCTCACCCTTTCCCACATGAAGAGGAGATCGGCGTCTCTCTGGTTAACGACGCCCTTGGGTGTAAGGCGGCGAATCTGGTTTCCGGGGAGGTTGATGGTGGCGGGGTCGAATCCTTGGTACAAATAGACCTTCTCTGGTTTGATGATGTCCCTGCTTCCATACTCCATCACATGAGATCCCGCCTGGAAGTCGTTGTAGTTGGAAGTTCTTAGCTTCACCTGCATTGAGTTAGTTGTAACAGACTTTAGACAAGGATAATTATGTTCATGAAACATTATTGATCAATTGGGTGTTCTCTGACATTCTCGTACTGTCGTTCGATTGTTTCTTCCATAAGATTGTGAGATTCACTGCATTATCGAAACAAATTAAAGCAGCATCAAGTCAGTGAAAACTGAACTTTATGGTTTAATCCATTTGCCATAGAGATGGAAGCTAAGTATGGAACACGCACACACCTATCCTCCATCCAAGCAACACTATACAAATCTCCTAGGCATGTAATGTATTCAGGTGGGGGTGCGGGTTCTGATCCCGGGCAGTATGTTCCCCAGCTGCTCTCCTCTGCATTCGAGGCTGTTGTCACATAAATATTCAAGTCTTCCGGCATCATGCCCTCGAAAAAGCTCCCACTCTCGCACGCTTCAACATATATAACCTACAACCATAGTTGATGATGAGGTCTTAGAATTGAAGCATGTGCCCCATGTCAACTAAAAACCTAAGCTCGTAGTTGGATGACACGTTAATGGTTATATGCTTGGACAGATTTCTTTCTTTTGGGCTCCCTTTCTTTTGAGCTCCAAGCAACACATGGACCATAGTCTCTTTTTTTTATCATAGCTTTGATACTAAATTGAAGTATGTGCTCCAATTCAACTGCTTTTAGTTAGATTGTACTTTAATGGTTATATCAGGCTCCCTTTCTTTTGAGCTCCAAGCAACACGTAGACCATAGTCTATTTTTTTATCATGGTTCTGATACCAGTTTAACTACTTTTAGTTAGATTGCACATTAATGATTATATGCTCAACCACTAGAATAGGACTAACTGTAACTAGGGGCATGAATGAAATCATTGGAGATGGTTACCATATCTTTGTAGGTGCCTGCAGAATGCTTTTTCTTCAGCACTTCAATAAAATCATTGGCATAAAGATGAGGCAAATTGGGCATCCCTGAAACAAGAACAGATCCTCTGGTAAATACTTTTAATTTCTATGATAATGGGCAACATCAAAGATTGTTCAGAGATCAATATATATATAAACTGACCAAGAACTCCGGGACCTCCATGATCTGTATAATAGATGAAAATCCTATCATCAGCTTTGCTGTCAACCACTTTTCCACTCCCACCTTTCACGCCCTCCTTGTCGCCGAGCAGGACGGCGTACAAATTCGCCGCCGTCACTTGGTCGCCGGTGTAATCCTAACACGTACGTTTTATCCGACAAAACATATAAGAAAACTGCTAATATAACGTAACGTAATTGATATACAAAGGAGCATGTTTATACCTTGGGCACGCCGGCGTAGACATCGGTGCCGTTTGGGTGGTTAATGATGACTCCTTTTCTGGGATTGAATGCGTTGTTTGCTATATCATCGTACATGAAAACTACTATGTTCTCGTCCTTCAACCCACCTCTTTTCAGGATTTGGTATGCATGGCACACGTCAGCCTACACATATCCACAAACATATAGTTTAACAATTAATATTAATGTTGAGAAAATTTCAATTTTGATCATATGACTATAGGGACTTTGTTAATTTAAAAACATGACTTTCAAAAGTGTCAATTTAGTACTTTGAGTATGTAATTATTATCAATTTTGGTCACTCCCGACCAAATTACTGGCCAAATTTCGCCTTTACCAGACTTTAAAGTCGATTTTGCCCCTAAGATTATAGACTAAATGAAGGATTAAATTTTTTCAGCAAAATTTGACCAGCAATTTAACCGGAGTGATCAAAATTGATAAAAATTGCATAATTAAGGTACTAAATTGATATTTTTGAAAGTCAGGTGCTAAAATTAACAAAACCCCTATAGTTATATGACCAAAATTGAAATTTTCTCTATTAATGTTTGATTAATTAGCTTTTTGTAACAGTCTTATATACCTGGTGGCGATAATTGGCGTATCCGTTTGAACCCGCCACAAGAACAGCCCACCTGGTACCCTGAGTTTCACCCTCCGGTGATTCGTCGTCTTTCTGGTCCACCGGCTGCCGGATTAGTGGGTCCCAGCGGGCGGCCTGAAGATTCTGAAGCTGACAAGCGATGGCCACTAGAAGAAGAAGAAGAACCAACGATGAACCAAATTCCGCCATTAAAGAGAGCAAGCTAGCAAGAAAGAAAGAAATTAAAGTGATTTTGTTTTAGAGATGAGAGTGCAGACGCAGAGGGAGGCTGGTTGGTGGGTGGTTTAGATAAGTGGCAGCGATGAGAAGCCATGCAGAACGAGGGGTTGCCACGTATCAATGGGTGGGGTCCAGTCGTCCAGACGTGTCCATATTGTGCCAGGTGTGATTAATTGTTTTGTTGGCTTTCTGTCTGTTTAGTATATGGTTTGGAGTTTGGACTTTGAACTTTGGCTTGGGGAGAAAAAAATGTATAAAAATAGTCTAAAAGTGGACGTTTCCATAATAATAAGCTGCTTTTGAGGCAAAATTCCGTAACACAATAAGGGTGTGTTTGGTTGGTGGGTTTTGCTCATAGGAATGAGTATGAAAGTGACTGTTGTTTTTGGTTGATAGATTTTTAGAACACTATTATGGGTTTCGAATACCTTATCAATTGAAAAATTCATACCCAAATACAATAAGGGTTTCATTCTCTTATTCATTCTCAAGCACTACTATTAGTAATCATTCCCATTCCACCCTACTACCAAACATGTTAAATATTTTCACCAAAACTCATTACCATTGCCAAGTATTTGATACCCATTCCGATTATGATTTATATGTGCAACCAAACACACCCTAAATCAAGTCAGCTAGGATGGACAAACCAATGAGTTTGTTTAGTGGGATTAGTGCTGAGTTGTCAACTAAAGTAAATGTCTAATCTCTGTGCGTTCAGTTGAATTACCATAATTTATGTCGTTTGAAATGTTTTGTCGAGAGTTGAGGGTGGGGATTCAATCTTTTTTGGAAGAAAGAACAAAAGAGCGTCAATTACAATCGTTATGCTGTGGAACCGTGTTCACCTTACAAGGTGGATACGATTCTATGTTCATAATTACTAAACTACATGTTCATAATTATAAAGCTATATATTCGTAATTTTTTAACTTCATATTCATAATTATTGAATTCTATATTTACAATTACATAACTCTATGTTCATAATTACTGAATTATATGGTCATAATTATAAAGCTATATATTTATAATTTTTGAATTTCATATTCACAATTATTGAATCTCTATATTCATAATTACATAACTATATGTTCATAATTATGTTCACAACTTTATATTCATAATTATGAACAATTTTGGAACCGTGTCCACTATGCATTGTGGACATGAGTCCAAAACGATGTTGTTTTCAGGGAAAACGATGACATTTCAATTAAAAATAATTGATTTTGTCTCGCCGTTAACGGCGTTATTCGTTTGTGGACTTATGAATGTACAGTTACGGAATTATGAATGTACATTTATGAAATTATGAATACAGAGCTCTGACATTATGAACTTACAATTATGAACATTTAGTGATAAAATTATGAACATATGCTCCTATAATTATAAAAATGGGAGAATGAGCATTGAAAGAGAACTTTTGTGTGAAGAAGAAATGGAAACTTGATCGACAGAAAACTCGCGAAAATGGATGCTTTACCATAAAAAAAAGAAGCAGTCTAAAATTAAAAAAAAAAAAAATGGTGAAAGATAACAGTGCCACTTATGACACAGTTATGGTGTCCACAATGTATGCTTGACACGGTCCATAGCATGATGATTGAGTGATTACCTATTGGGCTGAAGAAGCACTAAACTCATCCAAACAAACAAACAAAAAAAAAAGGCCTTAAGTCTAAACATGTTTGGGCCTGCTAACTAGATCCTAGCTCACCTAGTAACGTGTATCCCTAGTTCACCTTGCCATTTTGTCTCTATCCATTGGTTTACTTTCATCTATGGTGTCTAATAATTGGATAGTGATATTGAGTCATTATATTTAAGAAAACATATTTCTTAACTCAAACTTGCGTTATAAGACTTTTCATAACATGTTTTTCTACAAATAAGACCAAATTTCTATATAAATGGTAAAAAATAGTCTCATATCCTAAGTATTTTCTCAATACCAAAAGATTCATCCCAACTTAGTTCTATGAGACCAAATTTCTATATAAATGGTAAAAAATAATCTCATATTCTAAGTATTTTTTCAATACCAAAAGATCCATCCCAACTTAGTTCTATGGACCACAACCGATGGCCTAAGTGAGTCGAGGGCCGAGGCCTAGGGCTCAGTTGATTGAGGTTGAAACTGAAATTGAAAATCGAAGTTGAAGAGTCTTATTTAGACCTACTCAATAAGTATATTTTAATTCAATCATGACGGTCATAAAAATACCGCTTAACCAGCTTAGTTAGTGTGAGTACCGTACACTCTTGTTCCACCACGTGCATTTTTGTTTTTTTAGAGAGGTCGAAAATTTAATCTTCCTCTCATATGAAAAAATTAATCTGATCAATATTTTGTTACTTAATTGGGCCGGACCGGTGCGAATGCTGATTAGCCATAATGGAAAAAGAAAAAGGAAAAGGTAAAAACATTCTGTATACAACCTATCACAGAGGATAATTGCCCAAGAACATTCCAGAGTACACTCATACTGGGACTAGAACTCTCGTCTCCCCGGGCCTCTCGTCTTCGTCTAACCTACAAAATCTCGTCTTTCCCTTTTTGCAATTTACTGTAAATTTCCATCGATAATTGCATAGAGAGAGAGAGAGAGAGAGAGAGAGAGAGAGAGATAGGAAGAGACTTATGGCAGACGAAGCTAAGGGAAAAGGAAACGCGGCGTTCTCCGCCGGAAACTATGCCGAAGCTGTGCGCCACTTCACGGAGGCGATCAGCCTCGCGCCGACAAACCACGTCCTCTATTCCAACAGATCCGCCGCCTATGCCTCCCTCGGGAACTACTCCGACGCCCTGACCGACGCTCAGAAGACCGTCGAGCTCAAGCCGGACTGGTCTAAGGGATACTCTCGGCTCGGCGCGGCTCACCTTGGTCTCCACAGCTACGACGAAGCGGTTGATGCTTATAAGAAGGGTCTGGAGGTCGACCCGAATAACGAGGCCTTGAAATCGGGCCTTGCCGATGCGCAGTCTGCGCAGGCCCGATCTCGGGGGCCGTCGTCGAGTCCGTTCGGGGATGCGTTTTCCGGGCCGGAGATGTGGGCTAGGTTGACCAGCGATCCGAGCACTCGGGCGTACTTGCAGCAGCCGGATTTCGTTAAGATGATGCAGGATATTCAGAAAAACCCTAACAATTTGAATCTGTATTTGAAGGACCAGAGGGTAATGCAGGCGTTTGGTGTTTTGTTGGGCGTGAAACTGCAGACTAGGACACCGGAGGACGATGCGGAGATGCCAGAAGCTTCACCGGAGAGAAAGCGGCCGGCCGAATCAGACCCTGCTAAGGGAAAACGTCCTGAACCTACTCCACAACCGGAGCCCGAGCCCATGGAACTATCAGGGGAGGAGAAGGATACTAAGGAGAGGAAGGCGCAGGCACAGAAGGAGAAGGAAGCTGGTAATGCAGCTTACAAGAAGAAGGATTTTGAGACTGCAATTCAGCACTATTCCAAAGCCATGGAACTTGATGATGAGGATATTTCCTTCATTACTAATAGGGCTGCTGTGTACTTGGAGATGGGAAAGGTATACACTTTCGTTTACTGGAACTCTTTTTTCCATCTCAACACTGCATTGCATTTGCATAGCTTCTTGAAGTTCAGTTTGTGCTTTTGCTTTATCTATTTACAAATAGTCTGTCTTTTAATGCTCCTATGAATTTTGATTGAATAAATGCTAGTGAGTGTGTTATGGTATGGCTATCTTCTCAAATGTGGAGGGGATGATAATTTTAACCAAATACTAAGAATTTGTAAAATTTTGTACTTTTGTTCAGGTGTGAGTAGGTCAGTAGGACATTCTTAAATTTAAGCTTATTCTTGTTTAATGTGATTAAAGTAGATTTCATCATGTTTGTGTATATTGTAGTCTATCCCTATGTCATAAATTTTATTTGATTTTCCAATTTTTGTTGTTGTATATAATGCTTGATGTAATTTGTATACTTATTTAAGCTCCCTTGATTATAGTATGAAGAATGCATCAAAGATTGTGATAAAGCAGTTGAGAGGGGAAGAGAGCTTAGATCCGACTTTAAGATGATTGCCAGGGCTTTGACAAGAAAGGGTACTGCCTTAGTGAAGATGGCGAAATGCTCGAAGGACTTTGAACCTGCTATTGAGACTTTCCAGAAAGCTCTCACAGAACATCGTAACCCAGACACCTTAAAGAAGCTCAATGAGGCTGAGAAAGCTAAGAAAGATTTAGAGCAGCAAGAGTCTTTTGATCCACAGGTAGCAGATGAAGAGCGTGAGAAAGGTACTTCTTTCAGAGAGTTTTAGTTTGAGTTTTCCCTACTGCCTTCCTTTTTATGTATTTTTTTTTGGTTACTTATGCAATGCTGAACTTCAGGTAACCAATTCTTCAAAGAAATGAAGTACCCAGAGGCAGTCAAGCACTATTCAGAATCTATAAGAAGGAATCCCAAGGATCCTAGGGTATGAAATTTCAATAATTTTTTTTTGTAATCCATGGCAGATTTTGTGAATGGTTTGAGACTCATTCGACTGTTTCCTTTGCTTCTTTTAGGCATATAGCAATAGGGCTGCCAGCTACACTAAGCTTGGAGCATTACCTGAGGGGCTTAAAGATGCTGAAAAATGCATTGAGCTTGATCCCACATTTGCAAAGGGTTACACTAGGAAGGGTGCGGTTCAGTTCTTCATGAAAGAATATGAAAAAGCTTTGGAGACTTATCAGGAGGGCTTGAAGCATGATCCTCAGAACCCAGAATTACTAGATGGTGTTAAGAGGTAAAGATATTATTTTATTGATGTATTTTTCCTGTTGAGTATGTTCTTTTATGATGATTGAGAGTTGTGTTGAATGAATTACAGGTGTGTTGAACAAATAAACAAGGCAAGCCGTGGTGATCTGACTCCGGAGGAGCTCAAGGAGAGACAGGTATAGTTTCAATCTGCTCTTTAGCTTATCATTGTTGGAAGCAATATGAGCAAAACCAGTACCAATATTGCACCAAACTTCTTATTGCAGGCCAGGGGAATGCAGGACCCAGAAATCCAAAATATTCTAACTGATCCAGTAATGAGACAGGTACGATATCACCTTACTGATCAAGGCTATTAATTAATTTTACTTGTTTGAATGTTTGAATGGCATGTTCTCAATACTGACGACATCTTATACCTGAGCAGGTACTTGTGGATTTCCAAGAGAATCCTAAAGCTGCACAAGAACACATGAAGAACCCTCTCGTGATGAACAAGATCCAAAAATTGGTCAGTGCTGGAATCGTTCAAGTCCGATAAAAGTCCTAGTTGGAAGCCAAATGAGAGCATAGCTTGTGTTGTTGAAGGGAATAGTTTGTCAAACAGTCTTTACTTTTATAAATTTAAACAAGTGATGATGTTCCATTGTTCCATTTTTCCATTTTGGTTATTCTCCAGCAAACTGCTTTCAAATGGATTTTAATTTTTCAAGATTACAAATTTTGACTCTTTGTTTAGTTAACTGTGCAAACAAAGTGTTTCATTCTTACTCTTTAGTAGTCTAGCCGTGTTTCGACCAAGTGGATTGTACAACAAATGTACAATTGATTGCTATGAAATGTTTAGGCGATTGTTGAATGAATGAAATGTTTTGGGACCTTATTCTTTGCTTTACTGTGCTTTGAACCAAGTCTATCTTGTCACATGAAGATAAGTTAGCTTAAGTTGTTTATAGTTCAAAATAGTTAAGGAATTAGCTTGTTTTGTTTATAGTTCAAAATTAAGGAAGCTTTGACATGACAACGGGTCACAATTTGCAGATACTTTGAGTCAGTGTTCTTTAAATTTATTCATCGATGAGCGAACATGCTAGCTCATTACACGTGAAATTGCCAAGTTAGATTATGCCTTGACTCTCCAATTAGTTAGTTAATTAGTGTTTATCTATGAAAACTGGTGAAGCAGAACACAGCAAGGGTAGAACTCCATGTGGGAAAAAAAAGATTGCATTTTGGTATATGATTGTCACAGAATTTGATTGGCACATAAACATAAATAGACCAAAAATGGGGTGGGGGTGTTTAGGCATCAACAGCTTCCTGCTTAGTTGCAAGCTTATTCTGGATGTGTTGGGGGACAACATCAAATTTGGCTAATTGCATTGTGTAGGATGCACGCCCTTTTGTCATCCCTCTTAAGCTACTCACATATTGGAACATCTCAGCTAGTGGCACCAATGCATCGACTACCTGCGACAATCAAAACAGACGTTAAACTTTGCGGGCACAACCCGATCTGAATTAGTCTCATAGTGGTGAGATAGTCGACGTCATCTAATTATGGAAGCTCCGGTTTTGATGCAAAGAATATGCATTTGCTAGGAAACACACATAATACAATTAAGAATAGAGTCACGGCTCTCAGATTACCTTGAGACCACCGGGTTTATCTCCGAAGCTGTTGATCTGGCCTCGCCTTGAGTTGAGGTCACCAATAACATCTCCGAGATGCTCCTCTGGCGTGACGACTTCAACCTTCATAATGGGTTCCAGCAATTGTGGACCGGCTTTCCTCATCCCTTCCCTGAAAGCTCCTCTGGCAGCCAACTGGAATGCCAGAACGCTCGAGTCGACATCATGGTAAGAACCATCAACTAATACCGCACGGACATCGACAACAGGGTAGCCTGCTAGCACTCCATTGCACATGCATTCTTCTAGTCCCTTCATCACACCCGGGATGTATTCTTTTGGCACTACACCTCCCTTGATTTCACTTGTGAATTCGTATCCACTACCAGCTTCCAAGGGTTCGAACCTCACAGTTATATCAGCAAACTGTCCTTGCCCACCCGACTGCTTCTTGTGAATATATCTCACTTCTGAGACCTTGGAAATACTCTCACGATAGTTAACTTGTGGGGCACCAACATTAGCCTCCACCTGTTGGTTTCAAAGCAAATCTATCATCTAAAATGCACAATACGAGGTTAATGAGGAAAACATATAGCAAATAGAGAACTGAATTTACCCGGGCTTGAAAGTCAAAAATGTTAACCTCAGCAAATTAGCATGTAAGTAAATACCATTTACTAAATTTGTATTGAGTAGCCATTTATGGCTAATTCTTGTTATGTATGCTTAACATCTAAAGATCCTCGAAAGAATAGAATGGTTGTACGCATGACTTTTCAAGGCATGGATTTGTTCTTTTCTCCGTTTTCCTTACAAAAATCTCATGAAAGAACTAGAGGGGAAAGGGGAAAACTATAGAAACGAACCTTAAATTCTCTCCTGAGCCGATCAACAATAATCTCAAGATGTAATTCTCCCATTCCTTCAATGACTGTCTGATTAGTCTCTTCATCACGAGAGAAATGGAAGGATGGATCTTCTTGAGCAAGCTTGACTAGTCCAGCTGCCATCCTATCAATATCAGCTTTGGTCTTGGGTTCAATGGCAACTTTTATAACAGGATCAGGGAAATCCATCCGTTCAAGCACAACTGGACTTTCAGGATCGCACAATGTTTCTCCAGTAATTGTATCTTTTAGGCCAGCAAGGGCAACAATATCACCAGTAAAAGCTGATTTGATATCCTCTCTGCTATTAGCATGCATCTCCAGAAGTCTGCCAATCCTCTCTTTCTTTCCTTTGTTTGCATTTAGAACATAAGACCCTGCAGCAAGCTTTCCCGAATATACCCTTACGAATGTGAGAGACCCCACAAAAGGATCGGCCATAATCTTGAAGGCCAGGCCAGTAAAGGGTTCATCATCACTAGCAGGTTTTTCAATGGTCACCTCTGGGTTTTCGGGGTCAGTCCCTTTCATTGGTGGCAAGTCGATAGGAGAAGGCAAATAATCCACAACTGCATCAAGCAATGGCTGAACCCCCTTATTCTTAAAAGCCGAGCCACACAATACTGGGACGAAACTGCTAGAGATGGTTCCCTTCCTAATCAACTTTTTAATGGCTGCCTCGTCAGGTTCGACTCCTTCCAGGTACTTCTCCATCGCTTCATCATCCAACTCAACAATGGCCTCAATCATCTCTGCCCTATACTCTTCAGCTTGGTCTTGAAGTTCAGAAGGAATGTCCTCATATGCAAACTTAGCACCTAATTCTTCCCCCGACCAAACTATAGCTTTCATCCTCACAAGATCAACAACTCCTCGAAAGTTATCCTCTGAACCAATTGGAATTTGAATTACAAGTGGTTTAGCACCCAAGTTTGTTACAATCATATCTATGGTCCGGAAGAAATTTGCTCCTAGACGATCCATTTTGTTAACAAAACATATTCTAGGCACTCCATACTTGTCAGCTTGTCTCCAAACAGTTTCCGACTGAGGTTCCACACCAGCAACACTGTCAAACAAGCATATAGCACCGTCCAGAACTCTGAGGGCTCGTTCTACTTCAAGGGTGAAGTCAACATGGCCCGGAGTATCAATTATGTTAATCCGATGTTTGTTCCAAAAAGCAGTAGTTGCAGCAGAAGTAATAGTAATCCCCCTCTCCTGCTCCTGTTCCATCCAGTCCATTGTCGCTGTTCCCTCATGTACTTCACCAATTTTATAGTTCCTACCAGTATAGTAGAGGATCCGTTCAGTCGTAGTCGTCTTCCCTGCATCAATATGAGCCATAATTCCAATGTTGCGGTAGTCCTTCAATGGCACTGTTCTCTTTCCATCTGCTCATGAAATACAGTTTTTAAGTATGGACTTGCTGAAATTATTGCCACCATTACCCTACAACTATCTGCAAACATGTAATAATCCCAAGATAGAACATTCAATTCTACATTATTATTACAGTTGCTATTTTCACCAAGAAAAACTTTTGCAGCATCATATCTTTAACAAGAAGCAAAGAGCTATTATACCCCTATCAAATAAAGCTAATCTTCAGTTACTAATTCAATTCTCAAACCTGATAAACATAAAAATTTGCAAGATAAAATAGAATAAATTTCCATGTTAAAAGCACACATTCGTGCAATAGAGTTACACCCTGCAAAACCCAGATATAAAGATTCAATCTTCCCCAATTCAGCCCTAAATAAACAGAGACCACGAGGGTGGACATACCATCAGCGGCGGCCATAGCGAAGACGGAGAAACTGCTCTTTTGGCTTCGTTTCTGGTAAAAAGTTGGAGTCTTTGAAGCAAGGGCGCACCTAAGCTGAAATCTTCCGAAGAATTCAGACAGAGAAGCAGAAGTGAGAGACTGAGCCCTGCTGCTGCAGCGACGTCGCCGATGCTGGGAGCCGGCGGCGTTAGAAATGCGTGCCGGCGTTCTTGACCCATGGAAGTTGCAGAGTGAAGACGCAGTGGAAGCCAGTGACGTCATAATTACTGACTCTGCGGCCATCTCCCTTGTCGAATCAGTGAAAGCTAATGGAGGTTGACAATGTAAGAGACTGTAGAGGGGATTTCTTAGGCTTCCGGGTTCTTCTGGAAGACCTTGCAATAATTTTGGGTCAAAAATGAAAATTTTCTCTTTTTGATCCCCCTTAGGTCCAACAAATAGTTAGTCAAGTTGATAAATTGATTAACTTAATAATTATAATGTTACCCTTTCAAAAAACAAAAATAATTATAATGTTACAAATTCAATAAGAAACTCCTCAATCATCTCATTCATATAAGCTTACAATTTCATAAATGTTGCTACATAGCACAGAGATCAAAATTATAAAATTAAAAAAAAAAATTATAAACTTTTAAATGACAGGGGCATCAATGCTTAGCAAACAAAACCTAAACAGTAATGTACTTGAGAACAGCAGCTCTAATCTTTTCCATGTATTCTGCTATTTCTTTCTGCAGTTGCAAAAATGAGTTCACATATCAATCCATCAATCAATGCAGATGTGCAAAAGACTAAAAGGATAATCTTGTAGCAACCCTTTAAGATTTAAGATTTAAGATTTAAGAAGAGAGAACAATGCTATTCAGTGCATAGCTATAATTCTGTGAAACATCATTAGATTGCTGCAACTCGAAAGTCAAAGTGAATGAACAAATGAAAGATGCCAAGAAAGTTGGAATATAAAATTAGTTTCAGAAGTGATTTTGTGTGACTTTCTTTCTGTGTTTATAATTTGCAATCAATAAGGTAGCACTACATCTATGGTGCTGGAAATTTAGTCCCAGAAAAACGAGGACAGATATAGCTTTTCTCACCTGGTTACTGTCGTGGGCACTTGCAATATTCTCATCGAGGATTGCCAGCAAGGGTGTGTTTATCTTGTTCTGCTCAACCATATCCAATAACTGTACAGAAAGAGGGCACCATATTATTCATCACAAGATCCGACTACAAACTCAGATATGAAAGAAAGAATGTTATAGAAGTAGCACATACAGTTGCTTTTACATTCTTTGAAGTCAAAATCATGGTTAAGCTTGCCCTTGCTGTAACAAGATCTGCCTGCATTTTATCATAGGCTTCTGTGGAGAAAAGAGGCAGAGTTCTTGAGATTTACTTGCCAAATAATGATCATTAAATTACAAAATATGAATGGTATCTGTAATTCTGTAAA